TCACAAAGCAGAAGTTTAATTATTACACAGAAAACCAGTGACCCTTGAGTACTGAAGTTATACATTGTACTCTAGAACCATTTAATGAATTGAGCCTAGCCGCAGCATTAAATGGGTTATTTTAGCCAGGACTAGACGGGCCAGACATGCCACCGAGGGTTATAAAGCGTAGATATAATTTTTTAGTTACCATAGAAAGCGTAGAACAGGTTAATGGCTCATACTCCAGGCTGGCTGTATGTGTATGTGGTGTACGTCGAAATTAGGGCATGTCTATAATTTAATCCTACAATTTCCTACAATCCTGGCACAATGTAAACGTGGGGCTACTGTTGAATGCAGGCACTGCCGTTGAATGCAAAGTTTTCTTTTGTTTGTTTTTTTGCAACAGTAGAATGTACCAGTGGCAAAATCTAACATAAAAATGCAACGTGTATGTGTAACACACAAAGAAAATTTTTGTTACATTTGGAAGCAACTGGCAATAAAACAGCTATATGAAAAAAACTTAAAGTAACACTCCCAGCACCATAACTACTACAACTTGCTGCACAGTCATGATTTCCTACTTCCCAGACATGGGTAGGAAAAGCAAGCCAGGTCAATTGCTCCCCAGGTTACTAGCATGCATGTGTAATGGGATGCAGCTTCACACCTTATAACACCAGGCGGTGCTTTGGGATGTCTGTCGGCACAGCACTGCAGGAGTGGGGCAGCATGGCCTTTACACTGTATGTTTGTGCACGGGTTTGTATCTTACACTCTCAATGTTCTCTAGAACTGGATTGTCACACTGGCATATTTCCCAGGATTCTGGGGTGGACCAGGCTGTTGATTGTCAAAATTTACAGACTTTCAGCTGTTTGCAATAAACAAATCAAACAAAAACTATTGAAATAGCTCGACACAACGAATGCTTCAAGTGGTTTCCCCAAATTCAACTGAAAATGCAACTTATAGTGACTTCCCCAGTCTCAAAATTATTCAACCCTTTCATGGCAAGCATATTCAGTACTTAGTAGAGCTCATGTTTGCTGTTATGACCTGCTGCAAACGAGATGCATAGCCAGACACTACCTTCGGGCAGCATTCCTGAGGAATCTTATCCAATTGATCAGGAGCAACGGCCTTCAGTTCAGTAATATTCTTGGGTTTGCGTGCTGCAATCGCCTTCTTCAATTCCCACCAGAGATTTTCTATGGGTTACAAGTCAGGTGACTGTGATGGCCACTGTAGAATTTCCCAGGACTTCTTCTGCAACCAAGCCTTGGTGGAACTTGAAGATGCCAGTTGAAGCATCTGTTGTGTTGAGCTATTTCAATTGCTTTTGTTAGATTTGTTCATTGCAAACAGCTGAACGTCTGTACATTTTTACAATAAACCTGATTTTCAATGGGGGTGAATAATTTTGATTACAACTGTATGATGTCCTTGGAGGCATTTGCAGGTGACCTCTTAGGTATGCATACATCTCTGTAATGCCCCATCATGCTATGCAGGTTATACTGATGTAGTTTGCAGAGATATATGATGTTGCACATCTCAACTCCAGCAGCTTCCATATATCAAATCCATTCATATTGCATAAGCTGCACAAGAAGGATCAATCAGAGGTTTGCGAGTTTAGTGCAGAAAAAACTTCAATTTGTTTGTACTTGTAATTTGGTTTTCTAAATCTCTGCAACTCACATTTTAATGCATATAACCTCAGAGATTTATTCACAAACCTGTGAATTGTCAGGAAGTTACTCCCAGTGATTTGCACAAACTAGGCCAACATAGTTTAAGTGGAGAAAGGCTTTAAATCTGGAATGTTTTCAGATCAGCCCATTTGGGCTTAAATTTGCAATTCCTAGGTGCATTTATAACAAGTCCAATTTTGTGAATGATACTCTCAGAACAATTCAAAGTTTAGTGAAAAGAACACTATAAGTACCATAACCACTTCTGCATGCCTTGACAACTTACCTGGGTTCCCCAGTGACTGCACCGCATCCGATCTCCTGCAGATGAAACAGAATGTCTTTACTTAGCCTGACATCTAAATCTCTTCACAGTGAGCGTGGCATACACTGCTCAGTGACGCTTACCAAATTCCCCTGCAAAGAGAATCTGTAAGCAGGGCATGTTGGCACCCAAAGGGTTATTACTCTAGGAGGATCCAGGGCACTCCATTACTGCTGCACCCTGTCACATGCATCCCCCAAAAGGCTGGTCCGTACATTGACAGATTGTTTATGTGCTACCCTCATAGTAGCATAAAGAAGGACTTGAGGGGTTCTCTTTCATTTGGGTTGCTGCCTACCTATATTAATTGTGTGTTAATCAGCGCTGAATCCTTATCCTTTCTTGTTTACCTCATAGTAGCATACATATTACATTTACAGAGATATGACAGGTCTATTAGTGTACGATGGCTAGACGGGAGAAGTGAGGAGCTGCCTCACACAGTGTTTGAGTGTTTGACTGTCAGTGAGTGAGTGTCTGTGTCTGTCTGTGAGTCTGTCAGCAAGTGTATGTATGTCAGTGAGTGAGTGTCTCTGTGTGTGTGTCTGTAATTGAGTGTATATCTGTCAGTGAGTGAGTGTCTGTGTGTGTGTGTGTGTGTGTGTGTCTGTCAGTTAGTCTCTGTCAGTGAGTCAGTGTGTGTCTGTCAGTGAGTGAGTGTATGTCTGTCAGTGAGTGTGTGTGTGTATGTATGTCAGTGAGTGTCTGTGTGAGTGTATGTCGGTGTGTGTGCCTGTCAGTGAGTTTCTGTGTGTGTGTCAGTGAGTGTATGTGTGTCAGCGTGTGTGTCTGTCAGTGAGTGAGTGACATGACGGGGGTGGCAAAATGGATCTTTGCCTAGGGCGGCAGAAATCCTTGCACCGGCCCTGTATACATAGATTTAAAATTTGCTGCCAATGATGCTGTCGGAGGTCTGTAGCATTACTTACCTGATCCGCAATCTGGCCAGGGTCCTCTGCGCAAGCCTCAAGTGGCTCTTTACTGTCTTATAATTAAGAGCATCACAAGCACGCTCTTAAAGGGGCAATGGGAGCCCCAAGTAAATTCCGGCTCCCGTTGGTCCACGTCTTTCTGGTGCCCCAAAGCACACACATTTTGGAGAGACAGGCATGAGTTGGACCAATCAAATGTGACCTAAAGGCATTTAAACCCCCATAGTCCTGTACACTGTGCCCTATTGTGGTTTCTGTCACAGTACCCTTTACTACAAGCATGTCAAACTCAAAGGCTAAATAAAACAAGGTTTAAGTTTATGTGGGCTGCAAAAAAACAAAAATTAAGTTTTCATAGAAACATAGGTTCATTTCAGTATATATATATAAAAAAAGAAAAGTTGCCTAACTGACACTGGACGTCTTCACGCTTCAAAAGAGCGAATTTATTTTAATGAGATATGTATTTGCATATAACCAATGTTTCAGTCCAACTACCTTGACATATTAGGAAAAGTGTGATAATGTGACTGAAATGGTGAATGTAAGCTGTTGCACAGCTGTAAAAAACAAATGATGTTATCTTGTTGATTTTGAAGTCCTGTGAGTGTGTTCTTTGCTATTGCTGAGATTATCAAACTTGATGATCTCAGCCAATCCAATGCTTTCCCATAGGAATGCATTGGGAGACTATTGTGTATGTGTGGCAAAAAGCTGGTCAGCCAATCAGCATCTTTGTGGGGAGCGTTTAGCACCTCAATGCAGACCCAATCTAATACATTGCCCCCTCACCCATTCTAATACACTGCCCCCAAATCCAATACATTACCCCCAAATCTAACAAACTGCCCCTCCCTCGCTCCACTCTAATACACTGCCCCTTCACCCAATCTAATACACTGACCTTCCTCCCTCCACTTCAATTGAATACACTGACCCTCCTCCCATCACTCTAATTTAATACACTGCCCTCCCTCTCCCAATTAAATACACTACCCTCCCCCAATTTTACACACTGCCCCACTCCCTACCCCAGTTTAATACACTGCCCCCTTTCCCAATTTAATAAACTGCCCACTCCCTCCCCCAATTTAATATACTGACTCCTCCCTCAAATTAATACAATGTGCCCCCCTCCTCCATTTTAACACACTACACAGGAAGGTTGAGGGAGGGAAGACCAGAATCAGACAGGAAATATCTTTCCGGTCTTGCGGCCGGTTGCAGCCACAACACAAAGTGGTCAGAGGGCCGGTGGGCCGCATGTTTGACATGCTTCACTGTGTTCCTTGTTTATTATTATTCTGGTATTGACCTTGGCTTTGTCAAGGTCGTTAATCTTTACCCCTTTCCTGTGTTGTTTTCCCGTCCGATTAATTAACTTGTGCTAGGCAGAATTGTTTCTGCACATAAAGATATGGCTGAGATTTATTTATTTTTTAGGTGAAAATATAAGCACGTAAGGTCATTGAGCAGGACCCTGAACCCCTTCTGTTCCTGTGCGTCCAACGCGTCTGGTTACAAATACCCACCCATTGTACAGCGCTATGGAATCTGTTGGTGCTTTATAAATAATAATAATAATATGTATAACATGACTCAGCTAACATATAACATAATCTGACATTCTTTTTATTATTAAACTTATTACACTTATGTTAAAACAGATGCAGGTTTTGTACTGAGTGAATGATTACTGTGAGGCATTGCAGTGCAGGGAGTAACCATGTGCACCCTGAGAATAAAGCCAGGCCTGGTGACAGGAGAATGCCCAGCCAACCATAGTCTAAAGTCACGTGACTGGACTATTCCCCGTTCCCGCTCTCCCATTGGCTGGTAACACTGGTTCACACCCCGCAGCCTTCTGCTGCGCTTGACTCCGCCCCCTGCAGTGACGTGTCTCGTGGGAGACCAATGAGCTGCTGCCACACTGCGGCTCCGGGTCCAGTCACGGCTACTTCCGGCAGGGATTGTCTTGTACCGGCTTCCGTACTCAGCCAGCTCCTGCACACAGCAGCCGCCTCCCCAGCCACAGCCACAGCCACAGCCACAGCCACAGCCATGGACCGCCGCCTCGTCCTCTGCGCCCTCTTCCTCCTGGGGGCCGCCGCCAGCACCGCCCGGGCCTCCGACGTCCTGGAGCTCACCGACGATAACTTCGAAAAGGTGGCCCCGCAGCACAGCATCCTGCTCGTGGAGTTCTTCGCCCCCTGGTGAGTGCGGCCCGGAGCAACCATTGGGCCCCTGAGCTGCCACATATATAGAGCTATAATAAGGGGCTCCTGAGCTGCCATATATATATAGCTATAATAAGGGGCCCCTGAGCTGCCATATATATAGAGCTATAATAAGGGGCTCCTGAGCTGCCATATATATAGAGCTATAATAAGGGGCTCCTGAGCTGCCATATATATAGCTATAATAAGGGGCTCCTGAGCTGCCATATATATAGAGCTATAATAAGGGGCTCCTGAGCTGCCATATATAGAGCTATAATAAGGGGCTCCTGAGCTGCCATATATATAGAGCTATAATAAGGGGCCCCTGAGCTGCCATATATATAGAGCTATAATAAGGGGCCCCTGAGCTGCCATATATATAGCTATAATAAGGGGCCCCTGAGCTGCCATATATATAGCTATAATAAGGGGCTCCTGAGCTGCCATATATATAGAGCTATAATAAGGGGCTCCTGAGCTGCCATATATAGAGCTATAATAAGGGGCTCCTGAGCTGCCATATATATAGAGCTATAATAAGGGGCCCCTGAGCTGCCATATATATAGAGCTATAATAAGGGGCCCCTGAGCTGCCATATATGATATATGGCTGTATTGAGGGGGCCCCTGTGCAGCCTGATATATGGCTGTATTGAGGGGGCCCCTGTGCAGCCTGATATATGGCTGTATTGAGGGGGCCCCTGTGCAGCCTGATATATGGCTGTATTGAGGGGGCCCCTGTGCAGCCTGATATATGGCTGTATTGAGGGGGCCCCTGTGCAGCCTGATATATGGCTGTATTGAGGGGGCCCCTGTGCAGCCTGATATATGGCTGTATTGGGTGGGGGGGGGTTCTGAGAGAGGGCTGTCTGTCACATGTTATCTCAAACTAGAGTAAAGCCTCTAATTCTTAGTGTCTTGTATAAATGATGCTCTGTTTGCTTTTCTCTCTCCGTATAAGGATTTCTAGAGTATATAATGATCTGTCAGTGCTGATAGCATGTGACAGTGCTTTTTAATGACAAACTAATTTAGTTATAGAGCGAAATAACCAGTAATTAATATTATCATGTTCTGTTACACAGTTTCCTGCTGATAACACAGATCTATTCTCTTACAGTTTTTTAAGAGAATATTTCCACATTCCGGAAACGTATTCAGCAGTTTTAAAGAAATGTGAATTGAAAAACTATTTGCAAGATTTGGGCAAAACAATGCTTATTTAGGGGAGAAACAAATCCTCTAATTCCGCTATTATTACTAGCATTTGCTGTAGCCAATCTTTGGCTATTTTAGCCAAAGTGATGTCCAGTTCTCTTTTGTAATAAATCCACAATTACTGCATTGTGCATCTTTTTAGTAAACTGTGGGTGTTGACAGTGACTGATCTTAACTCCGTGATTTTGTATAGACTACCTTTCTATGTAGTCAATATTAAGTCTTTCTTTTTTTTTTTTGTATGTGCGTGTGTGGAACATGCACTGCTAATGTTTTTAATGTATTAGTCAGTTGGGGGATCATATTTATAGTGCCAAACTTATCTTTTTCACATCCTCTGTAAGTGAAAGTGGAACTAATAGTGTCAAGAATTTCCCCATAGAATAAGAACCCTGTTGTTGTTTTCATATAAATGTGATCAGGACACTATGGGTAATGTTAGAGAATTTGTAGCAGCCCCATAGAAGCCATTGTAAAGTTTCTGCAGTTAGCTTTGTTTGAAAACTAGTTCAAGTTCATCTGGCCCTGTGAGGGCCAGATGAACAAACTTTTTTTTATAGGTGATGAGGGACATGCCCTTTTGCTATTGAAAACAAATTGGCCTTTAGTGACTTGCAATTCTCAATCATTAGCATAATTGTTTATTTGATTGCCATAATTTTTGATTTGGCTTTATCAATACATTGTTAGTTTATTCTAATTGTCATCTGCCTCACACTGGAATTTTGGATGGTTGAATAGATGTTCCCAGATGAGTTTGTAACCAGTTGTTTTCTCTTATTCTATAAATACAGTATTTGGAATGCTGAAAATGTTTTGTCTTGCTGTTGCTGTAATTAAAATGCATACACTTGCGTCTTATATTTGTATTCAAAATGTATTTGCCTTGTTTCACTTTTACCTGAATTTGCTTTGTCAGTTTATATACACCCTGTTCAGCAGGGACTTGTAGTTCTGATTCATCATGTTAACACTACTTCCTAATCTCTAAGAATCCAACATTAAACTACTTCTCCCAGCATGCCCAGTTTTATCATGCTCTGTTAGAAATATATGGGAGGGTCCTTGTTGTGGTGTCTGCTTCTCATTTGCTGCTGTGGGTTTGGTGGCCTCTTGCTATTGGTGAAAGAGTACTCAACCCATTTTTCTCTTGCACGATGCTACTAATGAAAGATTTCCTCCTCCTATGTGGCTAGTTGTAGATTTGCTAAGAAGTGAATGTTAAGTGAAAACTGTTCATCTGATCATCTTTAAAAAAAAAAAAAAAAAAAAGAGATGTGCAAGTGGATATGCTTTCTTGTGATACCAATCTGAAACCAGTGGAATGGTTGTGAAAGCTGTGGGGTTAAAAACGGCTCTTATCTTATTCTTGTATAGGTTCTTGCCCTGTAAATATGCTTCATTAAAATTGTGTGGTTTTTATTTATATATAATTACTATTATACTATTAAATTTTAAAAAAAATTAAAAATAAAGAGAAATTCTAGTTGAAAAATGAACACTGACTAGGTATAGATTTCTTTTTTTTATAAACTTTCATTGATTGAGCCGGTATTTGGCATATTTTTGATAGTCTGTAACAGTCTTATAATTTACAGATTACTTGCATCTCCTAGTCACTGCAATGCCATGTTTTGCGTTAAACTCCGGTTGCCAGCTAATGAGGCGCCACGTTGCAACTTCACATCACACCTGCCCGTGAGTCTCTGCTTGCGGAACTCGGCAGAAAACAGGGAGGTGAGATCGTGAATAACCTGCTGTAATGTACTGGGCTGGCTGAGAGTGATAGGAGTGTGATTGATGACAGCTATCACACTCCTATCAGGAACAGCACTGTAGCTGATCCCAGCATGAAGTGGTAGTCTGGAAGTGATTTGTGTGATTGCTGTCAGTATGCATGATTGGTGTAGATTAGAAATAGTGTTGCTTTTTTTTTAAAAACGTGAAATGTACAGAATATTGGCACTGGTTATCAGCAATCTGTCTGAAAGGCGACAGTTTAATCTGCTTTGGCTCTGGGAAAATATCGGTCTATCCCTAACATTGACTGCATTCAATGTGTTTAACTATCATACAGCTATGCTGTAATCGGGAAAAATTTGGGGGAATACTACTCAATGGCTTAGTATTATCTATTTACACTTAAATACACCTCGTGCTTATAGACCCATTCGCTGCTGGTGATAAAGAATGAAATGCCAACTGCACATTTTAGTTGTATGTGGTTTTTATTTAACACAGTAATAGTTCTTGCATCCTAGCGCACTTAATACCTCGTTTGTCATCTTTACTTATTGTCCCTTTTTGAGCACTGCATATTCAGGGTGGTATAGTTGTTTTTTGTTTTTAATTTTTTTACATACAGATGAAGTTTCTATTCTTCCAGATTTAAACCTATACATATCTGTCTTTAAAGTATTTTGTTATTTATGCCATTTCTAGGTTTGTTCTTAACCCCTTAAGGACTGGACTGTTTTTGCGATGTTGTACATTTGCGACCAGGAATATTTTTACACTTTTGTGGTGTTTGTGTTTGGCTGTAATTTTCCGCTTTCTCATTTACTGTTCCCATACAAATTATATATTGTTTTTTTCAGGACAAAATGGGCTTTCTTTACATACCATTATTTATATAATCTCATGTATTTTAATTTTAAAAAAATATAAAAATCTGATGAAAAATTGAAAAAAATACATGTTTTTTGACTTTTACTTGAAAAATCTTTTACTCATCTACAAAAGCGAATGAAAAGAACTGCTAAATAGATTCAAAATTTTGTCCTGAGTTTAAAAATACCTAGTGTTTACGTGCTTTTTTGCTTTTTTTTGCATGTTATAGGGCTATAGGTACAAGTAGGATATTGCGGTTTCAAAACATACATTTTTAAAATTTATCAATAGTGACATTGTAACACTATTATCTGTCATAAATCTCTGAATAACACCCCACATGTACATATTTTTTTTAAAGTAGACAACCCAGGGTATTCAATATGGGGTATGTCCAGTCTTTTTTAGTAGCCACTTAGTCGAAAACACTGGCCAAAGTAAGCATTCATATTTGTTTGTGTGTGAAAAAAGTAAAAAAACTAAATTGAACGCTAATTTTGGCCAGTGTTTGTGACCAAGCGTTACTAAAAAAGACTGGACATACCCCATTTGCAATACCTTGGGTTGTCTTCTTTTGCAAATGGTATGCCATCATGGGGGTAATTCTCATTCCTGGGCTACCATACGCTCTCAAAGGCAACGTAACCAACCTGGCCATTTTCAATGTAAAAATATTTGACCCATATATTTGACCTTGTAACTTTCAAAAATGCTATAAAACCTGTACATGGGGGGTACTGTTTTACTCGGAGACATCGCTGAACACAAATATTAGTGTTTAAAAACTGGAAAACGTATCACAACAATTATATCATCAGTAAAAGTGCTGTTTGTGTGTGAAAAATGCAAAAAAGTAACTTTCACTGACAATATCATCGCTGTGATATGTTTTACTGTTGTGAATCACTAATATTTGTGTTCAGCGAAGTCTCCCGAGTAAAACAGTACCCCCCATGTACAGGTTTTAGGGTGTCGTAGAACGTTACAGGGTAAAATACAGTGCTAGCAAATTAAATTCTCTGGAATTTCGGCCTGGGTTGGCAGGCAGGTCCCTCAAATTGCAATCAATAAAATTACTGAATTATGTAAAAATATTACATAAATACGCACGTAGAATTTAAATATATATGCATATTTATATATTTGAAGTCTACGTGTATATTTATATAATTATTTATGTAATTTTGTATATGACGTATGTATATTTCTTATTATTTTTATTTATTTTTATATACATAGATATATATACAAATTCATTCTAAGTGTATTTTGATATAAATATATATATATTAATTTTAAAATACAGTTAGAATAAAATTTCATATAGCTATATAATTTTTTTAAATTTTTTTATTATTATTTTAAAAATTTTTTATTTAATTTAAATTACTTATTATTTATATTTTATAATAATATATATATACAATATATATAGTTATTATATATATTATATATATACGTGTGTAATTTAATTATAAGTGTATTTTTATATTAATATAAGTACATATTAATATAAAAATACACTTAGTATGACATTATATATATATGATATATAGACATATATTATATAGATATAATATATGTCTATATATCATATTTATACATATATAATTATTATTATTTTTTTATTACCATTAACTTTAATTTTTTTTCTGATTTTACACTAGCAGGGAGACTGCCTGTCAGTACAGGCAGTCCCCCTGCAGGCAGACACATGGACACCTATTGTGACCATGTGATCGCTGTGTTAAGCGATCACATGGCCACAGGGGTCCTAATCTGCCGTGGGGAGACTGTCTGGGCTGCAGGCAGTCTCCCCACAACCGGAGGAACACTGATCGCCGCCGGGGGAACGACGGCGATCAGGTAAGTAGCCCCAGACCGTTTGGACGGTTCAGGACCGTCATCGGTCCTCAAGGCAAAAATGCCGATGACGGTCCTGAACCGTCCTCGGTCCTTAAGGGGTTAAAACTCAGAATGGTAATGAAATCCAAATAGCTGACTCTTGAATATACTTGAGCTAGAGAATTTTCGAGATTCACTATTTAGTATGAATTTAGAAATTTGTATTTTTGCTGCTGTGTTTAGTCTAATGATTAACCCTCGTGAATTCCAAAGTGCTTATGTAAAAAAACCTAGCTTTTATATGTGTAGGGTTTGTAAACCTCAAATTGTGTTATGTAATTTTTATTTTTATTTTTTTTATCACTCAAAACTCATTCTAGCAAACTATATATTTTAATTGAGTAATTTTTCAATTTTTTACAAGTATTGTTTGATTCTAAATCTTATTTAATTCCCCCCTCCAGGTGTGGACACTGCAAAAAACTTGCTCCTGAGTATGAGAGTGCTGCAACCAGACTGAAAGGAACACTGTCACTGGCTAAGGTAGGTCTTCATCCATATAGTGTACTTTTTTACTTATTTTTTTTAATTTATTTTATTTCTTGCTCTTACCGGGCCTTCGCTGCCTGCTAAGGGATCATTCAATTCCAATAGAGAAGCATTTTATTGGGACATTCTATTGACTCAGTGCGCATGCATGAGCTCTGAGCTAGGGAGGGAGGTTTTTTTTGTTTTGTTTTTTTTTCTTAGTTTAAAAATAAAAATAAAATACAAAATTGCTATCAACACAGAGAGGGAGGGGAGCTCATTGCGCTTTTTGCCAGTGTGCTGTAAGCACTGGCAACAGGCATTTTTACAGAATTAACATTAGGCAGCTAGAACAGAGTACTTGCATGTATAAGTCATGTGTGCTGGGGTTGCAAATAGTCCCCAGCACGAAAATATAGATTACTTTGCATGTACAGCGTTTCAAATGGAAATGCTACACAGGCTTCTATCAACATGACCACGTCTAAAAGCAGAAGTGGTTGGGCTAGCTCTTTATCTGCATATATCTAGTGTTCTCTACTCCAAATTTTTGTATGTACGGAGCTGTACCAACAGCAAAGGCACAGACCTTTTGCAATCATACATATTTTTCAATTGCTCTTATCCACCCAAAGCTGTTGGATAATGTGACTTTGAAACCTCTGCATTATTGGTACGGCAGGTGTTGAGCTGGGCTTTGTATAGTACATCACTTGCGTTCATTCTAAAGAGCATACAGATTAATTTATGAACAGTGTTGGCATCATTACTAGGGGTAGTATAGACTTGGAGAAAAATATTTTTTTCATTGATATCTTTAACAGAAACACCCACCCCCTTAGCCAATCATAAAGTGGACCTATCACAAAGAGTTTACTTTTGGCACAGTGAAATGCGTTTGTGTGTGTGTTTGTGTGTGTGTGTGTGTGTGTTTTTTTTTTTGTTTTTTTTTTTTTCCTTTCAAAAGTTTAAAATCACTTCAAGCTGATATGGCAACTAACGCATCAATTGAAGCAACTTTCTAATGGGAACTAACTTTCTATGAATCTCTTTCCCTGTATTTAGCAAATATAATTTTGCAGAGGGTAGAAATCTAGATCACTCTATACTGTATCTCCACCTTGGCTCCCTGTCAGTAATTGTTATAAGCAGTCAGCATAGCGAAAGCGTTTTGTGAACTGTAATGTCTTGCTAAATATTTACTGTATAGATACAGTCACAGGTGATTTTTCATGTCATATTTGAAATCCAGGGAAGTAACAAATTTGAACCATTTCTCAGTAATCCATTTATTGGACATTGGCTTGTGTTTGTTAAATTGATTATTAATATACTGGTAGGAGTTTGATACGAAATGGGAAAATGGCTTCCATTTTGAAGATTGGTATGTATTATTACATTTATGTCCCTCGTCCAAACTTTCATGTTTCAGTAGAAAGCATGCAAACCTAGTCTAGCTTGGAGACAATAGGTTGTGACCTCTAAACGTATCACAGATGACAGTCAATGTCTGCTATGGACTGCCTTTTCTGGTCAGCTGGGTGCATATGCTGATTTTTTTTTTTTTTTTTTTGTGTGTTTATATGCAGGTTTCAGGCCCGATCGACTGATTTTTATTTTTATTTTATTTTTTGCACCACCTCCCTAAGACCTTTTGAGCTTTCCTGCGGTTCATATACTGCTCTGCTCTCTAATTGGGTAGTTCATTAAACTTCTTATTCTGTGTCAACTGCTCATGGGCCACATTGCCATAGACTGGGCACTCCTGGCTTTCAGTTTAGTTTCATTTAATTGATTTAAAACTCTGTAGTCTTCTGGCCTGAGTAGGGCAACACAACATATATGTAATTGTATTATGTCATGATCAGCTCTAGTGAAATAGATTTCTCCTCTGTAAAGGGTGTTTTATAAAAGATTAGCATCCATAGTAATAGTTATGTGCCTGGATACTAAAATGTGTACTGTTGTGCTAAATACTGTAAATATTACTGTAGGTTTTCCAAATTAAACAGCACTGTTAATTCAATGTTACTCGTATAGTCATTCCACTAAACTGATTGGATATACAGCTACTAAATATTGCCCTGTGGTAAAGTGTATATTTTAGATTTATTTTTTTTCCTTCTAAATTGCTGTGCTGTATTTCTCTTGCTTACATTTTCCCCTTCATCTTACAGGTTGACTGCACAGCAAACTCTGCCATCTGCAACAAATATGGAGTCAGTGGCTACCCAACACTGAAAATTTTCAGAGATGGTGAAGAGTCTGGATCATATGATGGGCCAAGGACTGCAGGTAAATTAAATGGATTTTTGTGTTAGATCTCCACTCTTCTCAGGAAATTTTAAATGACAGTGGATGCACTAGTGTTCATGCTTGGAGTGAATACCTGATACTTGGCTAGTTAAATGGCTGGGTGTAAAACCTCTCCATGCCTCTCAACTAATCAGGCTGTTAGTACTGCTTAATTGGCTGGCGTTCCTTAGCTTGCATTTAAGGCTACTGTGAACATTAAGTTTCCAACAAGGCAAAGGAAAGGTTTTTTTTTTACTGTAAGAACAATCAGGATGTGGAATTCTCTGCCTGAGGAAGTGGTTTTATCAGAGTCCATACAGATGTTCAAACGGCTACTAGATGCATACTTGCAAGAACAGAATATTCAAGGATATAATCTTTCAATGTAGGCTAATAACTGCTTGATCCAAGGATAAATCTGACTGCCATTCTGGGGTCAAGAAGGAATTTTTTTCCTAGTTTGTTGCAAAATTGTGCTTCAAACTGGGTTTTTTTGCCTTCTTTTGGATCAACAGCAAAAAACAAATGTGAGGTAGGCTGAACTTGATGGACGCAAGTCTCTTTTCAACTATGTAACTTGTGGCTGACTAAACTGGGGCAAGCCCCATGATTTGTGTGGGTTTGCACTGGGTCCACCAGCTCAGTATGCTTTGCTATCTTTGTCCAGACTGTTTTCTGGCCTCCCTTTTGAACTACAACCTCCTAACCTTATTCTTCCACTCCTCCCTTTCTCCTGCCTGTGAAAAGAATCTTTAAACATCTGATATTTACACAGAGCAACTCACTCCTACCTCTCCCGTTTAACATGCCTGTTCAAGTCTCACCTCAGCACAACAGAAGCCTGACATTTGTGCTAGAGTAGATTGTCCCCACCACGCAAACCAGCTATCTTCAAAAGTGCTACTGCATTGAGCATCTTTAATGGTGCATTCATACTAGGGATCGATCGATTCATTAAAAAAAAAAATATATATATTTTATTAAGGTAAATGCACAAAATATACATGCCAGTCAGATTTTTTTTTTTTTTTAAATATTCTTTAGTCCCCCCTCCCTGCTTCTTACTTGGCATGGGAGGGGGATATAGCATTCCCTGGTGGTCCGGTGGCATGGACTGTGCAGAGGGAGCCCAGCACACTTTTACTTGCCTTCCTAGCAGCTAACCTGTCTAACTCTTGTAGCCTGTGTGCCGCGCGGAGCTTTGCCATGGTAACCCGTGGCAACGCTCTTGCGGCCGCTGGACTCGTGAGAGTTAGACAGGGGAGCTGCTGGGAAGGTAAGTAAGAGTGTGCTGGGCCCCCCAGGATCCTGATGGCGGCCCTGGTCTGCATTATTGGCATCTTTATTGCCCGATACGATATTGCTGAAAATACAGAATGTCAGCCGATAATATCAGCCAGACTGATAATCTGTCGATCGCGAATTCATACTTCTGTCATACACATGCCTACTACACAGGGACCGCTGGCCCCACTTTAGATCCTCAGTCATATTAAGCTGCTTTCATTCAGTATAACAATGATGTCTCTACTCCTTCTGTTTCTTCCAACACTTCAAACTTTTTACACTTCCCTCTCTGCGCTCCTAACACATAATTTAGTGACTCTTAACCATAACAAATAAAGCCTGTTTATTATTTTATCATTTCTAGCACATATTCGCACTGGCCTGCATTGTGTCAGGTGCATGTGCTACTTCCTATATTCTTTGAGCTTAATAAGTCAGGTGTCCGTTTTGTTGAAAACTTGTTCATTCTTTGGCTGAGAGTCAGAGCTCTCCCAAGACAATGAATGAGATAAATGCCTACATTTGCATCTGATTTCTGTGCGAATGTTCAATAGGACCAAAGTAAATGTCAAATCATGCTAAAACAAATTAACTTTAAGTACTGTAAAGGCAAGTCTACTATATAACCTTTTACAATCTTAGTAGGTTTTTATATTTATATAATCTATCTCTATATCAATCGTATTTCCCCTTTCTTATCTTTATAGATGGTATTGTCAGCACTATGAAGAAACAAGCTGGCCCAGCCTCTGTGGATCTTCGATCTGTAGAAGAGTTTGAGAAATTCATTGCAGACAAAGATGCTGCTGTTGTTGGTAAGTGGAAATCACTTTTTAATAAAATTAAAATTCAAAGCACAAAACAATGTATGCTTCCCTTCTCTCCATTTCTTTCAGTCTTAATGGGTGACTCTACTTAACGGAATTGTGAGATTGCTTCAAATGTGAACCCACACACTGCCTCCGTAGTTGCAGGGCAAGTTGCATGCTCTTGCCCCGCAAAAGGCACTTGATAGGCGTGTTTGTAGGACAGTCATACTATAATGCAATTTCCACAGCTCAAAGCACAAATGGAAACGTTGATGAGCAACTTGCAGCCAACCTAGAGGTGTTTGTTTCTCCTTTTTTTTTTTTTTTTTTTTTTTTTTTAATACTTGCTATTGCATGATTAAGGGAGCTAGAACCATTTAGCATTACTACTGCAACTTGGGTATTCCAGGAGAAAATGACACCTCCCATTTTCTCAAGCAAGTGCTATTGGCTATAATTCAGACAGGATGAGTATTGACCACGCAGGATTTTAATTGCAGGTGCAATAGTTATTTTCTGATAAATACTTCCTTATAGCCATACCAATGGATGCTGTAATGGCTGATTAATTTCTGCCGGACTCTCCGTCGCAGGGCCACCCATTGCTGCTCAAGCAAATGGTTTCATTAATCAAAGCTGCACAGAAGGGGAAGGCTGAAAATAGTGCCTGTGCTATTTCTCATAGTTTCTCTTTTCATACACCTCCCTTTTTTCTTTTCTTTTTTTTTTTTTCTCAAGCCCTGTCGCAACATACATATTTTCTTCCTTTTTTAATACAATGCATCAAATCTATAGTAAGTTTTGGAAGTGTGAGGAAGTCTGATAGTGGAATCAGACTCGGCTACCATTCAGAAAGAGACCAACACTAAAGGTGGGATTAGCTCTGTTTTAAGAAAACAACAAAGCAAAAAAAAAACCCTGCTGTGCTATAGAGCTATGACCTGGCAAGGCAACCAGACCACGTCACTGAGCTAGTGTTCTTGTTACATAGTTGTTGAGGTTGAAAAAGACCAAAGTCCATAAAGTATGCTGTTGGTCAAAAAAAGGCAAAACCCAATTGTAGTGATTTTAGTTATGCCACATAAAAATGGATCAACAACTGTTTACGTGCATATCAATTTTATCCTTGAACATTATGTTGAGGCATTTTTAATAAAAGGTGGGCATAGAGGTTGTCTTGGCAGATTCTTCAACATCTTTATTCTTGCTGTAAAAATGTTTTTCCTCTGCTATTAGCAAAAACCGATTTCTTTCAGTCTTAATGGGTGACATCTTCTCTGTTATGTATTCCTGCTAATGAACAGGTTAGCACATAGAAGTTTGTACTGTGTGTATTGCTATCCCATCCTCTCTGAGGTGCCTTTTTTCTGAAGAAAACAAATTCAGTTTTTCTACCTTTTCCTTATTGTTTAAAAGCCCATTCCTTTGCCTCTGCCAGTCTTTGAAAGAAAGTATACAGAAAAAAGGAGAAATTAAATGTTTGTTTCGCCTTTTTATTTTTGTGTTCACATTACCAGTTTAGACAATGCAAACTGCTGTATCATTACTAAAAAGTTGACAGAAAAACAAAAAATTATTTATTTATAAAATATTTTACCAGGAAAGATACATTGAGATTTCTCTCGTTTTCAAGTATGTCCTGGGTCCACAAATCATTGCATTGTTACATTAGGTACAACAAAATAAAAAACAATATTAATACACAATATATACAAAATTTAACATAGAACAGGCAGGAAATATATAATCAACCATGACACGTGCATTCTGTTTTGAGGTATGTAGAGAGGGATCTCTTAAATGACTTTAGGCTTAGGGAAGATTTTAAATTGTGCGGGAGGTCGTTCCACAATTGCGGTGCTCTGTAGGAGAAGGAGGATCGGGCCGCTTTCTTTTTGTATTGAGGTAGACTAAGTAAAGTGCTTGTACTGGATCAGAGCTTATAGAAAGTGGGAACAGCTGGGGAAAGCATTTTGTTCAGGTAGGGTGGGAGTTTCCCAGAAAAGCTCTTAAAAACAAGGCTGGAAAGATGAAGGGTGCGTCTGGATTCCAGCGACAGCCAGTTTAGTTCCTTTAGCATGTCACAATGATGGGTCCTGTAATTACATTGTAGCACAAATCGGCAGAACGAGTTATACAATGTGTTGAGTTTATTAATGTGGGATTGCGATGCAGACGCATATACTACATCCCCATAATCAATGATTGGCATCAGCATTTGCTGTAAAATCTTTTCCTTTACTTGTAGGGCTTAGGCAGGCTTTGTTTCTGTACAGGGCACCTAATTTTGGATAAAGTTTAGATGCAAGCTTTTCTATGTGCAGGCCAAAAGATAGATTGGGGTCTAATATCATACCCAAGTATTTGAAAGAGTGGACTGCGGTCAGTGTACCATTTGAATTTGTTTTGATGGATAGGTGGGGATTGTGTAATTTGTGTAATTTAGGTACTGTTCCAAAGATCATTGTGACAGTTTTGTCAGTGTTCAGGAAGAGTTTGTTTTTTGCGATCCACTTTTCTACCTCTGTAAACTGGTCTTGGAGCAAAGCCTCAAGTTGCGGTAGATTGGATTTGCTCGCATAGATTACCGTGTCATCTGCGTACATGTGTACATTTGAGGATTGGCAGACATTAGGCAGATCATTTATAAATAATGTAAATAGTAGGGGGCCGAGAATGGAACCCTGGGGAACACCACACGTGACTGGGAGAGGGAGGGAGTCACTGTCTGAAATGGACACACATTGCGAGCGATCCGATACATATGATCGAAACCAGTTTAAAGAATGATCACAAATACCTGAGTTTTCGTGTTTGTGCAGTAGAATGTCGTGGTCTACTGTGTCAAAGGCCTTAGCAAAATTAAGGAAAGGCTCCAGTTAGGGCTCCTTGTTCCATGCCAGTTTGGATGTCATTGCAAACTTTTAGGAGGGCAGTTGTAGTGGAGTGATTCTGGCGAAAGCCCGATTGATCAGGGGTCAGATAGTTTAATTGTTAGTAGAACTCACAAAGTTGCGTATGGACACATTTTTCTAAGATTTTTGACAATACTGGGAGCAATGATATTGGGCGATAGTTAGAAACCAAAGTAGTGTCGCCACTTTTATGGATAGGCACTACTCTCGCAGTCTTCCAAAGTTTGGGTATGTATCCAGACACCAAGGATTGGTTAATTAGAGTTGAGACGGGTTTAGCAATTGCCGGCGCACTGAGCTTCAACAGCATTGCTGGGATTTGATCAGGTCCGGACTGGTTTTTCATTTTTAGATTATTAAGATGTTTTTTAATGACACGAACAGGTACAGGTCTAAAAATAAACTTATCTATATTGGGCCTTTGCAAATTTAGTGGGGCCTGATCCACATTTGTAGTTTCAGGATGTGTGTCATTTATTAGCTTGGCAATCAGGGCAGTAGAGCATCCGACAAAATAATTGTTAAAGGCATTTGCTACATCTAAGGGAAGTTGCAGGGTTTGGTTACCCACTTTGACAGTGGAGGATTGGTGGAGTTTGTAGTTTATTTATGACTTTCCAAAAGTTTCTAGGGTTTGAGATGTTACTGTTCAGATTTTCATAGAAATATTGGACCTTGGCCAGTTTTGTCTGTTTTGTGCATATATTTCACCATTGTCTATATGCACCGTGATCATTCATAGAGCCAGTACGCTTAAACTTTGACCACAAAGAATCCCGAAACTGGTACATTTGGATGAGGTCAGCTGTGATCCAGTTCATATGCGCTCCTTTTACCCTCACCTTACGCAGCGGGGCATGCAAATTCCAAATCTGTAGGAGTTCAGACTGAAAGTATTCAACAGCACAGTCTAGATCTGGGATAATGTTTAATCTGTGCCATGAGAGATTCTTGATGTCATTTAAAAAGGATTCAAGATTAAATTTTTTGAAGGACCTAGTTATTTTAACCTTGGGAGAGGATTTAATAGCCTTTATTTTGCGCACGCAGTACACTAAACAGTGATCACTGAACGTGTTTGGGAGAACACCAACCTCCTGGATTCTATCAGGAGAAGTGGAGAGAATCCAATCTAGCAGGGTATGGTTATGGCTTTTAATGTTTATGCGAGTTGGGGAGGAGATTAATTGCGTTAGCTGCAAAGTCTTAAACAGCCTGCAAGAACTATTATTTTTATGGTTCAGCCAATCAATATTAAAATCTCCAAAGACCAACAGTTCACTTTTTGGGTTTTGAGCTATGGTTTCACTAAGGAGATGGGCTATGTCAGAAAGGGAATGCACAGGGGAGCTAGGTGGGCGGTAGATTCCTGCAACAATGATTGATTTACTGCACGGGATCTCAATTGTGCCAGAAAGGAAATCAAAGATGGCAGGAGGACTAAGGTTTTGTAAAGGGGTAAACTTTATGGAATTGTCAACATAAATAACAATGCCTCCTCCTCTCTTTGCTCTGTCATTTCTAAAACATGAATAACCCTGTATTGCAATGGCGGTGTCTGGTATTTTAGCCGTTAACCATGATTCTGAGAGCACAATGATTTTTGGTTTGTAATGGGAACACCAGGCTTGCAGTGCATCCAGTTTAGGGAGTAAACTACGGATGTTGCAGTGCACAAAAGAGGCCTTTTTTTTTTTTTAGTGGGGAGATGAGGACTAGAATTAGCTGGGGGACCAGGGTTAGACTCCACATCATTTGCAAGGGCAAGTAACATAAGGAGTAGGAATTTGGACATCATCTTTGTTTGGCCATATAGTGAATGGGATACTTTATAATTTTGTGAGTTTGTGGTAGGAGGGCTATTTTTTTATAACTCTGCACCAGCACTCAGCAGATAAGTTAAAGGAACAGAGCAGGCCATGGTGTATGATAATTTGTGTTCCAGTTTGAGGTGTGTGCTTATGCTGGTAGTGGTGTGAACAAAATTGGATTGAGAAAAGGGTTATTAAGAATAACAGTATGGTTATATTGGGATTCATGTTAGTGGTATGAGGTGTGTAGTTGAAAATGAAACAGAAATTGTGAGAATTTTTTTTTTTTTTTTTAAATAGAAGTATATGGTTTTGGTGTGTGATATATCTATTTGTAGTGAGAGAGGGTATGTGTTCTATAGGGTTAAGAGATTGAAAGGGTGTGCTGATCAGTGGTTGCACCTGTCATTTCAGTAGATTGAAAGTTGTGTGGGAGACTATCTATAAATGAGAAAATGACCATGGGGTGGGAGGGAAAAGTCAGTCTTCCAGAAGGCTACCTGTTTCAAATGGCCATGGAACAGCTGATGGAGTAATTCCAGTTATAAGCAATATTTTGAGGCAAAGTCCAGAGATGTGTCAGTGCCCCTTAATCTAAATGTGAAAACCATACTTTGGCTTGGTATTCTGTAATTGTACACTAATGCAGGAGCCAGTTTACATTAAGAGATTTTGATTTTATTCCATTTTAGGTTTTTTCCGGGATCTGTATGGAACAACTCATTCTGAATTCCTAAAAGCAGCCAACAGCCTCAGGGAGAACTTCCGCTTTGCTCACACAGATGAGGATGAGCTTGTGAATAAATATGATTCAAATGGAGAGTACGTTAATTTTTTTTTAAATTTTTTTTTTTGGTTTGTTTGTGTGTTTTTTTGTTTTTGTTTTTTTTATGTGCTTGAAACGCATTGTAAAGCTAATTGAATGGCAAATAACTTTTCATATCTCCCAGTCATGCCTATTTTTCTTTGCAATACTTGAATCTCATACTGTTTTTTTGTGTAACCCATATAGCTCTACTGCTAGAATGAGATTAAATGCTTGGTAACGATTAGTCACTTGGCTGTTGATGTGAATGTAGAAGATGCTTATAATTTGTCTAAGTTGCTTAGCCAAACTGTATCATTTTCTTTCAGCTTATCCCTAGAAGTACAGCCGCTTGTGTTTGTATTCTGAAGCACTGGGAAAAATATGCATGAAACAGAAGTCATTGCTTTACAACTAAAAGTTTGATTATTTTTGGTAGTAGTGTTGTCCTAAAGCAAATTTTAGGAGGGCAATAGAATTATCCATGGAAGAGTGCTTTGATTACATCCTTTAAAAACATCATTAATGATTTTTAAATAAGCATGTCCCATGTTTCTATCAGATATGCCGGTCTGCTTCTTGGTCCCTCCAATGCTACGTGTGCTGGAAATGTCCATTTTTAATACTTTTGTGACAGATTAAATGCTGTTACTATCATGTTACTGTATTTGCAAAAAGTAGGTCAACTCCTTCAGGACAAGACATTTGGCAAACTCAGTGGCTTGTGTAAACACTGTCTGTGCACAATTTACTTCAACACAAGCAGAACAGTTGTATAACTCTGAAAATGGCTTATTTCATTACTAGAATTTTGCATAGCAGAAAGTGTTTTAGAGGAAACCTATTCAATAGATAACAATGCATGCTTTGCAAACCTTTCCACCTAGGAGCTAATGTAAGAAATTGAGACAATCTAGAGAGCACTGTCATTAATTCAGTGAAGACACTGTAAATATCAAGACTGCTTTGTACAACCTCTACCATCAGCCTGAGAATGGATAGGATATCTCTTGTCACAATTTAAAGGAAAACGGAAATATTTTAAAACTGGACCTGTATTTGAAAGTGTTTTCTCATCTCCAGGGGTATTGTCATATTCCGCCCTCCTCGGCTAGCAAATAAATTTGAAGATGCCACAGTCTCATTCCCTGCCCATGAGAAAATCACAAGCACCAAGATTAAAACTTTCATCCAGGAAAACATGTAAGTGACACTTGGCATAATCTGTTTAACCCATGCCTCATTACAAATTGTCTGATCTGGTCATTTTGTACCATCAACCCGAATTTGCAGCCTGGATCTGAAGGTGGGAGAGTGGTCATAAGTCGGATATGGCTGTTTTTATATTACTCACTGGGCAAAATACCTTGTGAAATTGTATTGAATGCTTCTCTTTAATTTCAGATTTGGCATCTGCCCTCACATGACTGAAGACAATAGAGAACAGATCCAAGGAAAGGACTTGCTTGTGGCCTATTTTGATGTTGATTATGATAAGAATGCAAAGGGATCAAACTACTGGAGAAACAGGTAAGTAAGTCTGTATAGAGAATTGTAATCTGAATTGCTAATTTCAAAACAGTTTGTAAGCTTCCCAAAACCATTTTACATTCAAGATATCAATTCCTAGAAAACCGCTTGATTTGATTGACTTAAACAATCTCTTCTTATTCCAGAGTAATGATGGTAGCAAAGAAGTTTGTAGATGCTGGCAAGACCCTGAAATATGCCATTGCTGATCGTAAAGCCTTTGGACATGATGTGACCGAGCTTGGTCTGGATGCCAATGCTGGAGATCTCCCCCTTGTTGGAATTAAAACTGCCCAAGGAGAGAAATATGTTATGCAGGAGGAATTCTCGTAAGTCTTACATGTAGCTTTGCATATTCTTGAATACAACTTTCTACTGAGAGGTTTTTGTTTCATATATTGACCACATTTTCATAGTGAAACTTCTTGATTACTTCCTTAACATAAATGACAGCATTCTTGTTTATGGAAAGCTTTCTAAGCTCTCAAATCACTGTAAAATATGGAGGATGTTCAATTGCAGCCCACTGGCCATAAGTTTATATGGTGACTACTTATCTGGGTAAAACAATGGAAATCATATAGCTTGTGTTGTACATTTGAATGAAGGTTAATTGGCAGTATTCTAAATACACTTTTTACTCTCCTGGTATCACTAGCCGTGATGGAAAGGCCTTGGAGAGATTCCTTCAAGATTACTTTGATGGTAAGCTGAAGAGATACTTGAAATCAGAATCAATTCCTGAAAACAATGATGGTCCGGTCAAGGTAAGTCTTCAGAACATCAGATTGGTTCTTGTCTCCTTTGTAACCTCTCTCTCTCATATAACTTTTTTTTAATGAGAATTAATTTTGTATTAGGTGGTGGTAGCTGAAAACTTCGATGAATTGGTTAATGATGAAAGCAAAGATGTCCTTATTGAGTTCTATGCTCCTTGGTGTGGACACTGTAAGAACTTGGAGCCCAAGTACAAAGAGCTTGGAGAGAAGGTATGTACATGTTTATGTACCTCAGCTGTAACTGGCTTTAAATCTGCAGTTTCTGCTGGGGAAAGCCAGCCATTCTCAACCCAGGATTTGTTTATGGTACTCTGTCACTCTATTTGCAATGTTTTTGACTCCCAATGAGCCTTCTTTCTCAATAGTGTTTCCTCTCTCCCTTTTTAATTTTTTTTTTTTTTTTTTTTAAACCTGAAACTTGATCATCCTTAGCCATGCAGCCCAGGGTTATCTTCCTCACACATGCCGCAAGCCCTCTCCAGTTGCATTTATTTGTAATGTGTTGATGCTTATACTAAAAAATCTACTTGCTACCTCCCTTCATTCACCTTGAAAAGTAGAAAACACAAGTATAGGATCCTGTCAAAATGTACGATTTCCTGCTAAATGTTTAAACACAGGAAGAAAAACACTAAAGCAAAAAAGGCTAATCAAAACGTCTGTTTACAGCTTGCCTTAGATCCAAACATTATTATTGCCAAGATGGATGCCACTGCCAACGATGTGCCTTCTCCCTATGAAGTCAGAGGGTAAGTTGCATGAATTGCACAGCCTGTGTAACCATGGGCAGCCAAGTTGAAGTTTTAGAGCACTAGCTGAAACTACAAGTGATTGTTTGTAATAGACCCGTGATCCTCCATGGTGTCTCAGGATTCAGTGTTCTCTCTACCACTTCGAAATAAGAGGTAGAATTGGCAATACCTGGTATTTTGCTGTATTCATAGAAATGGTATACTTATTCTAATAACTGGTGCAACATGGTTATAGCAAAACAATAAGAGGAGCCTGGGTTGGATTAATGTCCTTAGATGCTAATCATAGGATACATGAAGATGTTCATCCTTGGGCAAACCCCCCTTTCCCACCCCCCCCCCACCCCCCTATTCTGCAATACTCAGCTGAACTATTTAGAATCCCTCGAACTTGCTGGTAGGGTATTTCATATTTTCTTTTTCTCTACAGATTTCCTACTATTTACTTTGCACCAGCTGGAAGTAAACAAAATCCAAAAAGATATGAGGTGAGTTGTTCGTGTATTAAAATGGTAAAATTAGATCACGATATTTTGTGGCTTTTATTTTATAGGACTTGGAAGGAATGGTGCTTGTTCTGCATTAATACGGTGTATATCTCTGAAAAGGCTGACTTGATTGTTAGAATTAACCTAGGATTGGCTTTATTAGAATTGTGTGTGGTTGTTTTAAAAAAAAAAAAAAGAAAAATCTAAACCGTGTCCATTCATTTAAATGTATAGCATTGGAGCAGAAAGTAGGCCATTGTGAGCTTGACTCAACTTTGAAATTCCTTTGCAGGGGGGCCGAGAGGTCAGTGATTTCCTCAGCTATCTGAAGAAGGAGGCAACAAATCCTCCAATCGTTCAAGAAGATGAAAAGCCCAAGAAGAAAAAGAAACAAGAGTTGTAAAGAAGTTTATACAAGCAGCATTTTCTATCCACCATGCAGAAGAAACTGTAGGGTGGGGTTGCCATCCTGACATTATTGGGATCCAAGGGGAAACATAATGGTGCGGTGGACACAATGTGCGGCAAGTTTCATTTCTTGGAAAGGAAACTTGTCAGTTTTAGTTCTTTCTTAGATGCACTGTTGGAAACATCCAAGGACTACAAATATCTGTGGCTTGTTGAGGGGGGCACCACTTTTCCATCAAGGTTGGGAGGGAAGGGGGTGGGGGTGGGGGAAGTCCCTTTTTTGTTAAATTTCTTTTTTTTCTTTTTGTTTGATTTCTAATTTTTATTTTTTGTACATTTTGGGTAAAAAAAATAAAACACCCCCTACCTTTAAAAAACAGATTGTGGTGGTCTATTGTATATTTTATTCCATGGGCTTTTATAACATAACCCTATGTTCATTTGGAATAATTGCACTGGGCTCAAACACTTAAAGGAACACCATACAACTTTGGTGTATCTGATAGATTTTGGCCTCAACGTGGTGTATCTTTTGCATGCTCAAAAATATATAAGCCTGCCTTCATATCAATGCCAATTTGTGCCAGAAGGAATTTCCTGTCAAATGTTCAGACTTGGATCCAACAGAACTGACATGCTTTTAACTCTCAGCCTGGCTGTAGACAATATAAACAGGTAGTTGTAGACTTACTAGGTCTCCTCTTTTTGAATGCAGGTGTAAGAGGAAGAAGGCTTATGGTACAGCATTCTGAATGTTCATTGCACAAATAAAACTAGATTTGAGCATGCAAAAAAATATGACACACTAATGAGGCCAAGAACCAAACAAATGCATGTTGTATTGGTGCCCAGAATGTCTATTTTAACTTTGCTCAAACTAAGCTGATAACCTGGAGCAACTGAAGTGCGTTCTGCCTTGCATTCTATGTTTTGATATAAACGCAAGCAGGGTGTTTAACATCTATTTAACACTGGAGCACATTTTTCTAGTGGACCAAGTAGTAAACAAAGTACAGCTTGATTAACCTGTGTCTAGACACTGCAGACTAAATTTCTTCTAGTATGGTAAATACTATACACACCCATGCAGGACTTTGAATCCTGTCTGCGTTTTGTGGTTTCATTGATACCTACTCTTCATTGCTATTAAAATCTTTGTTGTAGGATTTTTTTTTTAACCCTTTCCCAAAATAAAAAAAATAAAAAAACAATTCCAGCATATTGGCGTTGGTGATGCCTGGCCCAAGAGTCCCCTGGAATAGTCACATGGTAAGCTATCAAATTGTTTACAAACATTGACACTTACCAGGTCTATTGGGAGCATGCAGTCCTTTCTGTCTGCACTGATGTGCTAAAGCAGACATTTGTACATGTGCATTAGAACCCTCAAATGTGTGCAACTTTCAGTGTCCACTAATGCCAATGTACGTCTAAGATATGAACTGCAACATTAGCATCAGTAAAATGGCAGCTTCCTCTGGGCAAGTCCCAGAGCACTCCTGGCTGCATAACAACTGTATGGTGCTTAGAGTATCCGTTTAAGGAAAGTAACCGTTCACACTCTTCAGAATAGGTTGTGGTTTTTTGTTTTTATTCCATCTTACAGGGTTATTGGTGAGATATATTGTAAAAGGGTCCACATGTAGTGAGTTCTGTTTACTGGTTAGGCACTTGGCAAAAATAGTGTGAATAGAAGTAAAGACACAACCTGTGGTATTAAGTTTTATTTTAAAACTTGGTTCAGTATAAACAGAATGGTTTACACAATGCAAAGAAGGCTATAGTGCAATGAGTGAACATGGATCTGCAATGTTAACACAGCCCCAGCAAACCAAAAAGATGGTTTTGAGCATCTGAAATAACATGTACAGGTTTTGTTTTTCCTTCTTTTAAAATCTCTGGCATTTACCAGCATTCAGTCCTATTCTGCAACTTTATAGGTATAAATTGTTCCAGAGAAATTGATCAGCACAGATGAGTTGCAACTACTCTGCTGGTGAAGTGATGAGTTTCATGTGTTCATTGCTGAAGCACTTGGTTCCCTCACAAATCTTCACTCTTAGTTTAATTCACTGAGATACTCCAATCCTCTAAACATTGTGTTAGCATGATGACTTGTTAATGTTTAGATTAAATTGCATTACTTGAATGGTACACTAACACAAAAAGCTTGTTGCTGGACAATCCACTTTCTTGTCAAAGTGCTGCTGAATGTTCTTTGGTAGGGTGACCATTCACTACTTGCTGTTTGCTGGAAAAGGACATTGTTTGCAAATCCTAGTTCTGTAAGCATTTGGCAAATGCAAGATTGAAGTAAAGCTGTGGACTTTTGCAATATTGTAGAATATTTCATTTTTCCTTCAAAGCAGAAAACTTTAATCAGTCGAGTAGACCCTATGTCACATTAAATCTTCTACTGGACCAGTCCGTTTTAAACCATCTGTACACAACAATATGTCTATAGAGTAAGGCAGCAGTTGTGATGGTCTTCATGGTTGATCTGATGGCACCTTTTTACAGAGGGCTTGTCATTTCATTCCTGGCGACCATGTTTTAACTGTTAACGAGGCATTCTGCAAGTTCCTGATGCATGGTTTTAAAAGACCTGGTTCTGTTAATCCATACAGCTAAGTTGGCTTATTTTTTTCGTATTCCAGAATCAGGTACTTGATGTGTGACAGTTTGTGGTGCAAGTATTCACAGCGGGATTTCTCTTCTCTGTAACCAGGGTAGGTCTACGAAAGAAATATATATATTAGCACAGTCTTATAATGCTGCTCTTTTGGGAGCTTGGATTAGGGCTGGCAGATTTGAGTGACTCATTTCTGCAGGTTGTGTGACTGTTTGAAAGTATTCAACAATATGTATAGTCCACAATGCATCTTTGACAGTTTCCTCACAACCAGGATTCCAAATATAACTTATTTTGCTTTGGAAGCTATTGTATACGGTAAACAGCCCTGTTCTGCCACCTGTAGAATTAATAAGGATCGGAAAAAATCCACTTATCTGGCACTCTTGGCTAAGAGGATTGGGGAGCACACCCTGAGCACGAACTTCACAGTAGCTTAGGGTTAGTTTAGCTTGCTGCTATGGGGAAGGTAGTTAATTCAAAGTGACTTGTGGGGTAGCATGATAGAGTAGCTTAGGGTATCCACTGCAGAATATGTGCCAGATCTCACTATCTCTAGAACTAAATAACAGCTGCCAACAAACTCCTCAAGAGCGGAATGATGAGCATGAAAGAGTTGTAAGCCACCAGAAGAGTTTTCTTCCAGCCTGTGAGGCAGTCAACCTTGATAGACATTGTTCTGTCGCTGTAGAACCAGTAAACTGGTAGGAGTGCATATTGTCCAGCACTGATGGAAATATTTGGGTTTATTGCCAGTTGTGCAAACATTGCAGTTCTTATCATTCTCGTTTGGTGCACACTCAATGGACTGCAATCCATTCAAATGAGTGCCAGAGGTTTACAAGTGACTATAATAAACCGCCCCTACCTGTAGAACTAAGATATCATTATAAGGGCTATAGTCATCAGTATTTGGATGACAGACTATTATAACTAGGTCAAACCAAAGGTGTCTAGCACTTGTAGTCCATAGTATTTGGGGTGTCACAATGCTGCATGTTTGCTGTAGCCTACAGTAGACACACCTGTACTTATTCTAAAATGATTGCATTTTATTGTAGGGGCCCTGATATTTCTTGTTTTTACAACGTTCAACTACCAGCAAGCTCATTAACCACAGACTGCTACTTGTAGGTGTGAAAGGGTTCTCAATTTAAAAGAATAGAGTTGAAGTATTTTACTCTCGACTGCTTAACAAACCACCTCTACCATCTCCCTACAGCCACTAAATCCACTTTCTCCTTCACTGAGTAGGTCTCATCCTCCTGTATTTACTATATGATTACTGCAGGCTGTTGCAAGATTTTTTCCTTAAAGCATTATTTATTTTTTATTAAATACATTGTGCTTGTAAACAAAACCAAAAAACACCAAAGCATTACAACCAGTCTCTTAAGGTTATCATAATACTTACCTTTTTTAACTTTTTATATTCAGTAAGAATCTTATTTTCAATCGCCTGTAAAAGATACAAAATTGTTAAAATATCTGCACCGAAATACACAAACTGCATCATTAAAAGCCCATGTCTTCATTGTGTAGATGGACTCGCTCAATATGCATTTTTATTTATGAATTCACGGCAAGCTTGGTAACACCGCTCTCTAACATTTAAACCAGTACCTACATGACACTAGTTAATCTTCCCAATAAGAGAATCTATTAAAGGAAACGGTCACTTATCTAGAAATCGGACCAGAACAATAAAAATAATGTATAATGTGAGGTTTTGTTTACTTTTATATGTATTAAAGATTTCATTTTTATTTTTTTTAAATTAAAAGTTTATTGGGTTGAAAGGTACATACAATGAAAAGAATGCAATATATCTGAGAATTGCATAAGTTTCAAAAAGGGAAATAAGCAAAAGTATTACATTAAAATATTACACCATCATCAAAGAAAGGCATCTGCATGGAGTACACTATACTTCTGATAAAATGGCATTATCCAGCATAATAACACCATGCTACCTCTGTCTTGTCTGTTTGTCAACAACAGGCCTCGTAAGGTTAGGCATATATGCATATGGGGAATTCAGGATGACTGCGGCCTTGCATAGCTCAGGGCAGGCATGTGTGACAGTAGAATGCTGCATAAATGAGACTGTGTAGAGTTGCGCATTAAGACTTAGCTGGTTACAGTGTCACAAAGCCTATGAACCAGTTATTGAGAGGTACATCAAGTATCTGTCAGGACCGTGTTTTTTTTCTCTCTCTCTATTTCAGACCTCTAGGTCTGATGTCTGAGCCCTAGCGTAACTAAATTAGATTGGTATACACTTTGCTCGTAGGCAGTCCATGGTGCGAGCTTCAGTGTAGTGGTGGTCGGTCTTCCACTCTCACTTGGGAGAGAGAACGTGTATGTGGACGCCTCTGGGAGAACATGTGGCACGTTTGAAATAGGAAGATGGTGAAGAAGATAGAAAGACCCATAAGTCACATAAAAAAGAGAGAAGGGTGAAAGAGAAAAGAGAGGGGGGGAGAAGGGCTGCATAGGGTTGTGAAAGGGGGGAGGGGAGAAGAGAGGTGTAGAAGGAAGAATTTGGTCAAGACAGAAAAATGTAAAGCGAGGGGAGAAAAGAGTAAGCGGGTAGGCTAGACCCCAGTCCCCATCCCGAGCTAGGCCCAATACTCCTCGGCATTCAGCAGGGCTATGTCCTTCTAAATTGTGTCCATGATTCCGTAATGGGTTTTCTACACAACTATTGTGTTCTTGAGTTGCTGAGGGACCTGCTTCTGGGTGGTACAGGTAGCCACATGTTCTTCCCAGCCGTCTATGGGTTTCTTGTGTTGGTAGCTGAAGACAGCCAGTTGAGCCATTTGTACCAGGTGTCATGGTAAGTTTGTGCATGGCCAGCTGCAGACAGAATCAGCTCTTCAATTTGTCTGATATCCACCACCCTGTTCATCCATTCCCTTATCGTCAGGGTCGTATTTTGTTTCCATTTACATGGAATAAGGCCGTGAGGGTTGACTGATTTTTTGAAAGTGCGTAATGGGAGTTTGGTGAGCTGAAGCAGGTATGTTTCTGGTGTGAGTTGTAGGTTAGCATCTGAAATGGACAAAATTATATTATGTATTGCCTCCCAGAAGGGTCTGATGAGTGGACATGTCCACCATATGTGATATTAGAGAAAATTTATTGATACTTACCGTAATTTTCTTTTCCTGGCTATTATTCATGGTAGCATTTAACATATGGGTTTAGCTCCTCCCTCCAACCCTCAGGACAGGAAACACAATCAATTAAACAATTAAGCCTACCTTCCCCTAGTATATTAGGTACCCCAGTATCCCCCACACCTCAGTCCAGTAACAAGACAAATAAACCAAGAAAGGGTGGGAGACCAAATGCTGCCATGAATAATAGCCAGGAAAAGAAAATTACGGTAAGTATCAATAAATTTTCTCTATTCCTGGCTAATCATGGCAGCATTTAACATATGGGA